TTTCCCTGGAGCATGGGACTTGCAAGGGGAAGGGTTTGCATCACTGGGGCAATATGCTTGGAACCAGCCAGAGACCTTGCCTGAAAACAGTGCCCTGTTACACCAGCACAGAGCAAGGACAGTCCCTTCCTTAGCTAAATGCAGTTGAGCTTTAGCCTCATTTCCTTAGGGATTTCTCTGTTCTCATGGGCACATCTTGCTCGGATGGTGTGGATGGTTTGGAAAGGAACGATAATAGGGGTGTTTGTTGTCACTCCTCTTCTTTTGCCTGCAACCAGAGAAAGAGGTGATACGGTCCCAGTTTGCTACCAGACTAATGCTACACTTTCCCTGTCTATAGCGATCATTGCTGTGTCTCTGCCTAGAGACTGCCTCTGTCAGAACCAGCCTGTGCCCTGTGTTCTCTGTCAGTGTCACCTTGCTGTTGTCCTCCGTCAGTCATGGTATGATATTCAAGTCCAGCAATCCCCATGCTTATCATGGTCTGAGCTCCTCGCAAGGAATGTCACCCAGAAGAGTGCTCTTTCCAACGCTCCCTGATTTGACACCTGGGACCCGTCAAATGGTGTAAACTTAGCATAACCATGAGAAAAAGAACTGAAATCCCCTTGTGTTTTTGCTCTCTGCCCTGACAACTTTGATGTCATGTGAGATGAACACTAGACACAGGTGAGGTGGGAAAATCATTCCAGCCAGCTCCTTCCTCCTGTCAAATAAATACCCCAAAAACCCAACACTGCAGAAGGATGTTGGAAGATTCCCCTCCATCCAGAGTCCGAGGGAGGGAGGGGAAGTACCAAGTTGAATCCAGCTGCTCAAAGTAATTGTCTGGGGACCTCACACCAACATCTGCATTCCAAGGCACTAAGCTATTCACATGTTCATCAGTAGACTCTGTTCTAGTGTTGTTCAGTGCAGGACCTCCATCTCAGAGCACAAATCACATCTCTAACTCTCCATGTGTTTTCAGAGCTTGGAACAATGGAGGTGCCTTTGTTCACTGGCTCTCCTCCCAAAGGCCACATTTCATTTCCAACAAAGAAGACTAGAGTTAGAAAAGAACTGGAAGAAGGAGAAAGAAGGAAGAGGGGATGCTCAGTACAAGACAGGAATGAACAACCAGGGAAGATAAAGAGATAAGAAAGGGGAAAAAAAGGAGAAAATGAAAGTAGGAGACAGCTGGAAGAAGGCAGTACCATCCAGCATCAGAGGAGAAGCACAGAGAGGAAGCTTGGAGATAGCTAGAGGGAGGTCACCAGCCAGGCTGTAGGGCTTGAATCACATCAGTGAGTCAACAGACACCAAAGCAAAGTCCAGTCTCTGCCTCTGGCTTTGCCACCCTGAATGCCTAGAAGTGCCTTTTCCTCCCTTTTTTGCCGGTTCTCCATTGCGGGCTGCGTGCCACATGAAAACCCTCCCAGCAGGCACCACGATCTCTTCCCTGCCCAAGCTGTCTATCGCAATCAGCTGAGGGCTCCTCAAAGTTGGCTCTGAGCAGTGGCAAAGGCCATCCCCCTCCAGCAGTCTCCCCCTGATTTTACTTACGGTCCTGGCTTGAATCAGAATGGTGAGTTCAGATTGTGAAAAGGGGATGAATATGATTCTAAAGAGAGAAGAGGCAGCATTTCCCTAGGCAGGGAAAGCACATTAATTACAGAGCAGTAGATTTCTAATTCAAGGGTTCCCACACAACCCTGGTGGTTAGACCTTAGATCTGGCCAAGAAGCACTAACCGAAATTTGTGCCCTGTGGGAAACCAGTTCTGTTGTCCTGCTCAGCTCTGCTACTGGCTTCAAAAAGCTCCCGGCGCCATTGCTCAGTGACAGAAAGAAGATCCCACATGCAGCTGAAGAAAACTCTCCATGTGTCTGTAGTTAACTCATGAACAAGAAACACAACAGGGCAGCCCATGGCCTACGCAGCAGAAGGCAGCAGCTGACCTTCTCACCAAGGATATAATACAGCCTATGTGATATACTTATAGGTCCTACACAATGCAATGGGAGTTTTCAGGTTAAAAGAAAGCATAAATATAAATGAATGTCTTAAGCACGCAAGGAGTCCAAAACAAGGTTTAGGAGGCATTGGCTCTTGCTGCATTTATGAAGCTTTCTGGAAGATCCACATTAAAATCCAGAGGTAGTTCAGTTCTATAACTTTTAGTCATTGACTACTTTTGGTTAGGGAGGAGATGGAGCAAGATCTACAGACACACTTGCTGAAAGGGAAGGAAATGCTGAGAGGATGCTGGGAGGAAGAGGATGGTGCTCTAAGAGAAGGAATGCTCTGTCAGGATGTCTTAAATAAGCAGGAAACCAGAAAGGGAGAGCGATTCAGTCTGCATTCTGCCCTCTTGCCTTATTCACCCCGTCTGTGAACAGTTTCACGCCAGCCCTACAGGGTGTTACGAACTGTGTCTGTATATCATCCTGATTTCACACCCTGTTGCACAAACAAAAATCAAGTAAATTTGCCCCTTTCCTCCAAAGATGACTAGCATGCTTATGTTGGACAGTGGGGCACAGGCTGCTAGCCCAGCTCACTCCAGCCCCAGACATCCTTACCTCCGGAGCAGCAGCTTGGGGTGGTTCTTGCTCTCCAGATTTTTGTCTATGAGGTCAGCCAAGAGTTGCTTGAGGACATCAGTAGCATATTCCAGCTTGCTCTGCAGCACTGTCATGATCAGTGAGGCCACATTACCACGGTCCCGCATGGAGAAGCTGCGCTGGGACTCCAGCGTGCGGATGAAAGACAGCAGGAAAACCTTGTTGTTGATGAGCTGGGCAAAGAGCTTCAGGCCTTTCTCCACCCGTTCCTGCCTATAGCCAGGGACCTGCACAAGAAGAAAGGGAGTTTAGCCCTTACTGCCCACTGTGAGACCTCTCCCAAATGTGTCACACACCCATTGCTACCTCTCTGCCCTCGTCCCTCCAGCGCCTCCAACTATACATTTTGACATCAAACAGAAGTCAGTTCTGAGACAGAGAAAAGGGGAAAGTTGCTTCAAACAGCAGAAACAATTTAAGGTAATTAAAATAAAGTCTTGCATCTAGCAGGCAGGTGAGTCCTTCCTTCTGCTTCACAGGATAGACCTATAAAAAGGAAGAGTCCATACATCATCTGATGATTAGGAAGCCTGAGAAGACTTTCTAGGCAGAGCCAGATGACTATTTTCCAACATCATCTTTCCCTTCCTGAACACTACATCAAGAAGAGATTGCTAGTGCCTAGATGTGGTACCATACCATCCAAACCATATTTTTATTGTGGTGAGACTGAAATCTCACTCTATCTCCACATAGCACCTCTTTATCCCTGCAAGAAACTTGTTGACAGAGATTTGGAGTTCAGCTTTAAGAAGCTGCGGAGACAGCAAGAAAGTGAATAAGGAAAAGAGCCTGGGGGTCAAGTTTTGAGCAGATGAAGAGATGCTGAGACGATGAGCATGCAGCTGGGCTTTGGTTTGAAGAACTAGGTAGATGGAGGTGTGAGAGGACACCCTGAATTGGAGAATTGGAGTGTCTCACTTGGCAAGTGAGATGGTTTGGAGACAGAGAGATTGATAAGTCTCTAATATATTTCTCAACAGTGAGAGGCTGGTGAAATAGTTTTATATAGAACAATTTAGGACCTCAACATTGGACCTTGAACTCCACAGTCTGCAGTGGATTTTTTCCTTTTCCATCCTTCTGGGTATAGACAAAGTGGAGCCTAAATAGAGAACACCAAACTCATTCCTCAGTGTTGGTGAGGCTGTTCCAGCCCCTGGAAAAGCTTCCCTGGAAGCTGGAGGGTCTCAACACAGAGCAATACGTGTCATTGAGGCATGTATGTATTAATAACCCACCAGATCTGGCACTTTAATCTAAAAAAAGTTGGCATGCTTAAACAGCCAAGTAATGCAAGGCTCCTTAAAGAGTCATTATTTTTTCATTCTGGAAATTAGAGCTCTTAACTCTTTTTGCATTCAGCAAATAAATTACTTAGTAAATAGCTTGAGACAACCAACCAACCATCCACCCACTACCACCCATCCCGCCAATAATGATTTTTAACTCACTTGCTTGAACATTTAATATTGTCTATCCCCGGGTTATTATGAAGAATTAAAAAATAACAAGGAAAGTATTTTGTACTGCATCTGGAAACAGTTAATTAGCAAATGATCTGGAAATAAGTAAGACCTGCTCACTGCGGGATCTATGCTGGGGTCTTTTGCGATAAATAGCAACTCCTTCTAGGTGCTACAGTGAAGAGAGCAGAATGGGAACTGCCTTCCCTGATATGTTGGTAGCTAAAGATGTTGATACTGAAAGAGCCGTTGAAGCTTTACAGAGGATTAAGGAAAAAGATGAATGAAATGAAAGGAGGAAGAGATCAAAAGTGGCAGCTGGAAATGTTAGCTCTGTGTCTCTACAGATCTACGTACGGGAGCATCCATGCTAAAACCTCTATAGGAGTCAGATGCTGTTCTGTGGTCAGCTGGCTGAGGTTAACGAATACAGGGATTGCATCTGGCTGTGGGTATGATGAAAGTATTTGTGGGTATGTGTATACATATGTGAGAAAAAGATTCTTTGTCCCTCATCTCTTGTGCTCATTTGTTGAAATTGCTGAGCCACTCTTCCTGAAGGCAAGCAGCTCAAGGCCACCCTACCTGCACCCCAAAGGCAAGTATGTACAGTAGTCAATGTGCAACTCAGTCTCCTACCCATTCCCACAAGTCCTCGATGCTGACAGATCAGGTTTTTTCAATGGTTCTCTCCATATAGTTTGATGAATTTTGGCTCTCCTGAACAGCAGGAGCAAAGACGAGCAGGGAGCTCTGACTGCACAGCCAGCCAGTCATAGCATTGCCTGCACCACCTCCTGTTCCTTCTTTCTGCCAACTAACCCCAGTCTTGGCCTCCAGCAATCTCACCAGCCCATGCCAGAGCCTCTCTGAAGCTCAGAGCTTGCCAAAGACTTTACAGAGAGCTCAGCCAACGACCTCCCTGGCCTTGGCCATAGCGTATCCCTTGCTTCTCTGGCCCAGGTATCCCTAGAGCAGAGCCTGTCCATCTGCCAAAGCCTGAAGCAGTTTTGCAGCATGGACAGGCTTCACCTGTGCTCCTATCAAACTCGTTGTTGCCAGTGAGGTAATGTGCGTAGACCTCACCAGTGCTGGGATCTTGCCGTCCTCCCACCACTGCAGGCTGGAGACCTGCGGTGGAGGAGGCAGATGTGGGCAGGGTACGGGCAGACTGATGCTGTGGTTTTCTGATCTCACTGCAAACCACAGAGTGCAGCAAAGGCAAACCTCATTCAGTGACTGCAGGTTATTTCTATAGGTGTTACCAGGAAAAAAGGTTTCTCGGTAGTGTCGGTGTCATGCAAAGCTAGAGTGACGCAGGCAGCTATGCTGCTCTGCCATACGACTTTTTTTCCTGGCTACTGCATAGCAGTAACTAAAAAATCCTGTCTAAAAACAAACTCCAGCAGGACGAAAACCAAAGAGGAGCTTAATACAGTAAACCGAATCCACACAGATTTATGAGACTCTTCCAAAGAAATGAGTGATCAAACAGAATTTAACATCTAAGATAGCAGCAATCTTCTTCCCCTTTCAACCCGGATTTTTAACGAGGTGCTCTTTAGTCCCTGGTAGGACAGACCATTGTAAGCCATCACATCCCCACCACCGACACAACTTCTCTTGCACTCAGGACAGAACATGGAGGCATGAGAGGAGCCAGAAGCAGAAGATGGTGATTCCTTACCTCCAGGTCCCTTAGGACTGGGTGATCTTCAATGCCAGGGAAAAGCACCCTCATGGTGTAGGTTCGGTAATCAAGGAAAGGGATCCCAGCTCCATCCAGATCGCTTGTCAGCTCGTGAATATCCGTCTGTAGCTCTGCAAAGGCTGACACAAAAAAAGAAATTACTTATGTAGCAGTGACAGTCCAGCTCTCCCTCACTGTGATGGAAAAGCCCTCAGGCCCATGTGAATGAGACTAAGGTCCAAGCAGAGAAGCAACATGTGGAGAGGAAGAAGAAGGTGGACAAGAGCAGTCTCACTTTTCCTACAACACAGCCTTTCCCCAAGGCCACGTACCAAGACTCTCTCTGGACTCTGAGTTAACAAATGTAGTTGGGACAGGGTGGAGGAAGGCTGGATTCAAGGAAAAATAGGCAAAGTCATATTAGATCCAGGCCTGAGCCATACCCATAGGGTTCAACATTCCTTTTGCTTGTGATATTTTGGCTCAAAGCTTTGTGGCTGGATCCTTCTCCTCTACCAAGACTGACACAGTATCAGCCTGCCTTCCTCCTCCTACCTTCTTTGCACTCCAGTGCCACCCTGGACTCCAAGTTGTCCATCTGCATCTGCAGACGCTTGAGGGTGAGGTCGCTTTCTCTGGATTTGCGCTTGTACGCAATCAACACAGCCACGATGAAAATGATGAGCAGGCCACCGGCCACCGCAATGCTGACAATAGCTGGCAAGCTGAGGGGGCTGTCTGGAGAGATGTAGACCATCCCTGGGGAGAACTCCATCCCTCCTACACGAGCCTAGAGGGAACACAGGGAAGAGGTGCGTTGAAACTGTCAAACAAGCAGGAATACAGAGAAACTCCATCATCTCCCTGACTAAGGCTGAACAATGACATCCCCTTTTCTCCCAAGCTAAACCATGAAGTCATGAAGTACTTGGATAGAGAACATCTTAAAAACACCTGAAGTGTCATATAGAAACAACTCTGTTGCAGAATGACTGTGAACCCAACCAGTAAAGGACTTATGGGGAGACAAGTATCACCAGTCCCCATGGCCTGGCTACATATCAGTTTGGACTTCATTCTGGGTTTTCCATTCCCTGTCCTGAACAGCTACGTTGTGCTCGACTGTCCTGATGACATTTAGTCCCAAAATGCACACAGGATACACAGCTCATGGTTATGGTCTGATGGGTCCTAACCTCATAATGGGACGGGGGACATCTGACCCAGACAGCTGGCACAACAGCAGTCAGGACAGTGGGGATGCAGAAATCAGAGTCACAATTTGTGTTTAACTCTTCAACCAGAGAAAACTGTATCTGGAAGCCACTGGGAGAAGGCAAAAAACAACACAAATACCACAGAGCCTGGCCCATGCTCTTTACAGGCCCCCTCTAGCCCCACATTGGCAGGATGACTGCAGATGCTCACCAGTGGGATGGGGAGCTGAACACAGCTTTCTGCTCTCCATGAACTCCCAGAGGTTCCCAGGGCTGCTGCCAGGCTCTAGAACAAGCTGCTGTGTGAGGACCTTGCTTTTAACAGCCAGAAGAACCCCTGCAGGTGGTACTGCTGCAAGCCCGACAAAACACTCCGCTCAAGCACGGCTGTTAGCAGCCCATTTTTACAACGCGAACACCACTCCCAACAGTAATCCCATGGGGTACTACTCGCTCAAGGCTACCACAAGGTTGTTCAAGGCTGTTTGTAGAGTAGGATAAGTTTGAGTGGCAGGGGGAAAAGCACTGCTGACTAGCTTGAGGTATAAAAAGAGGCTTCTAGGACTGTGCTGTGGTAGGGGAACACTGATTATAGATCAACATAAAGCTAGGAAAACACCGTGCAAAGAACTTGAAGGATCGTGACATGGTGATGAGCTCCATCACTTCACCAGAGCTGAGCTTTGTGACAGGGAGGCACACCAAGCCCTGCACAAAGTGCAAAACCTCGCTGCCAGGCAGAAATGCAGTCAAAACTCCAGAGCTGCGTGCTTCCCCCTCCCATTGCAACTGGAAATACTGCAGTATGTAACTGAACCTTTTTCTTTCTCTTCTATGAGGAGCTCTCTCTCACTTTCCCAGCTCCCACAGCGGCTAGTGAAAACATCCCCCACATCCCAGCCTGGTGGCTAGCCTTGTCCTTCATCCCACTGACTCCCAGTTCATCAGTCTGTCTCCAGCCTGCTTGCATACGCATTAATCCCAGGGCTCCCATGACTCAGCTCAGGCACCTACTCCGGTTTCCTCTCTAGGACACAGGAGGAAGAAACTGGCCCAAGAAGGAAGGGTTGGAGCCAGTAGAAGAGACTACAGAGCAGAGTCATAAATTAATGAAAAGTCTTCCAGCTGGTCTTGCTCCTCAACACCACAGCCCTTGCTGGGGACATGAATTTCTATGACCCCACCACCTCCTAGAAATTATTCTGGCCCCAGTTACAGCCTCTGAGAAGATGTCTGTTGTGCTCTAGCACCAGCTCTAGGCTGTTCCTCAGTGGGTCCTGGCCAAAGCCACCTAGATGTAACCCTTTTGTCTTGGACAGGACAAAAGTGAATGTCTGGAAATACCTAATTTCCATCCACAAGGTCCTCTCATGCCCTGAATATTCCTAAGCATTTTGGGATGGGCTCTAGAAAGTTAACAATGTCCACAATGAGAAATGAAACCAAATCTAAGCTCATCTGACCAGGTAAAAGAATTTCAAGGTGACTATTCCTGTAGCATGACATTGATGACTCATAGAGCATCTTCAGTGGCCAAGGAACAACCTAGCACCCACATAAGTTGAGGACGCAGCAGTAACTAGTTTTCCCATCTATTCTAAGATACAAGGTCCAACTCGCTTATAAAGCCTGCAAAGGGCAGAGATTTGGTATTGGTATGTGGCATGATCAGCTGAGAAGACAAACTGCCAAACTCACATGCTAATCTATGCATGGAAAGCTATTGCCTTTTGCCCTAGACCATTGTCTCAAATCCTTCCAGCAAAATTTGCTCACCAGTTTGAACAATTTTCTCTCTGACACAGTGAATCAATAAATAGGATCATTATATTTCATTTTCTGTTTCCAGCAGTGGCCCTTTTCCTCCAAGCCTTGCAGTCAAATGAGTCCATTCAAGGACTACCAGACCAGAATCAAACAACCCTGTCCCAATCCCCAGTACCAGTCCATCATCGAAGCTCACCGAACAGCCCGTCTCCATGGGTGGCATTCCTCTCACCAAACATTCAATGTGCACATCTGACTTAGACATTACAGCATGCTTTCAGAGTTAATACAGAGAAAAAGCACTTTCAGAATGTGATTTATGTGAGCTGCTTTTGACACTTGCTTTGACATTAGGATGAGACATTTTATTCAGTGGAAGTTCCCATTTCTCTCCATTAACTATAAGGGGATCTAGGCTCGTAGAGGTAGGTGTCTGTCAAAGTTAGTTGCAGTCCATTCCGCTCTAAAGGTGGTTTCAACACTGGGAAGATCTCACAGTCCATGAATCAAACTGCCATAATCTGAGAGAATTTGTCTCTTGAAGAGAAAGCTTGCAAGGTTGCTGTACTATTGTGAGCACTTAAAAGAAAAACAAGCAAATATGTAGATATGGCCCTACTTTACTTCTTGGGCCACTGAGTGTTTCTGAAGGAAGAAATTTATACCTTCCAGAAGACTGAACACAAGCCCTCTGTATTACCAAACAACAGTTTGACCACCTGTTAAGCCTATTAATCATTAATTTGTTTTAAATGGCACTAAGGCAGAGCCCAGTTTTCTCCAGCAAAGTCTTAGGGGCCACCTGTAGCGGTTCTGGAGTTCCTGTTGTGCAAGACTTGACTGTGGTAACATCTTTCTTAGTGCAAGTTTGCCCTGGCCAAATGTAAGTGTCTACGTTAGGATGAGATGAATTGTGCCCTGAACTTCAATTGCTGTATTTGGCCATCTCTCCATTCACTACACAGAGAGTCCAGTGTGACTTTCCATACATAAGTGCCTACATTAGCTACCAGCAACCCTTCAGACGTACTCCACTTCTTCATTGCAGACCTTCTGCACCACAGTTACTCATGGATCTTCCTTATGATGGATCTTCCTTATGTCTCTTTCTTTTCCTTGGAAAAAACCTTGCCTCTGAGTTTTAGTCAATCTTTTTAAACCGTTGCTCAGGCTTTTTAGTTCTTTCCTATTTTTTCAAGTATTGAACTTTGTAGTTGTATAAAAGATAGCTGAACTAGAGCAAAACCATGTTGACATCAACGTGTGTCACTGTCACTGTTCCTTTCCTTAGAATAATCTCAGTGTTGCAATGATTGATTCAGTCCAACGGTCTGCTCTCAGATCTAGGCCACTCACCTCACTTTGCAAGAAGTGAGCATTTGTTCAGCATTTTACTCAAGGTCACACAGTATATCATTGGCAGAAATGGGAGGAGGACCTGGGAGAGCTACCTGTCAATTATCCTGACCTTCAAAGTGACATTCATGTGAAACATGGGGTTACACTTTGTACCAACCCGAGCAACAGAGATGTTGTGCCATGCTGGAGGAGGCATTTCCCAGCCCAGCTGTCCTCCTGGTAAGTTCCAGATGCAAAGTCCATTCTTGAGAACTGGCCTCCATCACAGGTGACCTTCTGTATTTGGTTCCCAGCCCAGATGCTGTCAAAGCATTCTCTCAGTGTTGGCAGTTGAATGAGAAATCTGTAACTTGCCCCTAATACTGATGCTCATTAACAGGCTTCAATGCGATCATCTTCCCATGCTTCCAGCACCATCTTTTGTTTGATCAGCGGCCTCAAAAAGAGATTATTTTTTTCTCTGTGGCTTCGCTTAAGCTGTCCCAAGCTGCAGGAGGAGGGGAGTCTTCCCAATTAGTAAGACCTGAGCAGATGTTCATCCTCCTGATCCCCAGGGGTTGATTATTGCTCACCTAACTTTGAGTTTTCTCTCTCTAGGATTGGCTTTGTCCATCTCTGGCTAACCATATGTTTAATTATATTCATGAAAATGACAAGGAACGTATATTGCCTTGTTCAAAAGCTTTGGTATTCACACAGAGAAAATCTCTCACTTCATTATTGCTCCTCTTGGAGTGTCTTAATACAATTTACAATTAATCAAGTGCCACGGTATATTTGCATGGCTGGAAAAGATTATTACCTCTATTTTCCAGATGACAAACTTTGGCACATAGAAATGAAGTAGCTAGTATGAGGTCTCCCAGCAGCAGTCACAAATGAGACCAAAAATGGTTACCATAAAGTCTCTATTTTCTAAAAGTCTATGGAAAACTCTTTTTTGAAGAGCCATGCAGTGTGTCTCTATCAACCTCTCTGAGTCTCACTACATTGAAATAAATAACTTTGTGACAGATACAGCTTTGGGAGAGCAGCAGAGAGGTGGAAAAAAGTTGACCACAAGGAATAAAAAACATTGAGCATCCATATGTCTCATGTCAGTTGTTAACTTTTGTTGTGTTTCCACCCACAGCTCGGTACAACTCAGATGGGTTTGCTGATGCGCTGCTTACCAAGCAACAGCATTGAGGAATGCAAATTACTGAGAGGAAAGTAAAGGAGGAGTGAATAAATCAATGGTGAGAGGAGGGGAAGTTCCTTCTTGATGTAATCATGAGGTCCATTTTTCACAGGTTCCAGGAAGAGTATGTAGGAGTATACGAAGTTGTAGAGATATCAAATCCTCAAAGTCCAGTCACACTATTGTCCATATCCTGCATTTTTTTTTTTTCTCCTACATCAAGGCAAATTTTAGCCAGTATGTTAGTAATCGCTGGGGACTCTTATGAATTTAACAAAGCATGTCACGGAGGAAACATGTTTACGTATATGAACTCTCATGAGTATCTAGAGTTCATACAGACCATACAAAAACAGAAGAGGGGCAAACTTTCCTAAAGGCTTTTGATTATGAAAGGTTTCTCACTGTCTATAAAGATCTCCAGGTTACTCTTCTAATTCTCCAAATTACTCTTGATGGGGATATTATATCAAGAAGAGACCCTGATGTTTATGGGATCTACAGAAGGCAAATGGTGATGCAAACTCCTGGGAGATCTCTGTCAGCTATTCAGCATTGGTGTGACCTCCCAACCCACCCAGGGAAGAAAAGCTGAGGTTTAAACACCACTTACCATCACCTTGTGCCGTCCAGTGAGGTTTGGGGACTCACACAGCAGCTGCACATCTGATACAGTCACTGCACAGGGCTTCTCACCAACCAAAACAGTGTAGTTCAGTTTGGCATTCCCTCCCGCCACTGGTGGGATCAGGTTCTTGCCCTAGTAGAAAGGAATATCACCCCCCCCAAAAAAACCAAAACACGTCAGGAAAGAGTTTGCCTTCCACCTCTAGTTTGCTCCTGTGACACAAGTTTTAACATTGCACTTGACATTTGTGGTTCACCATTAGCTAACCCAGAGAGGAAAAGCCAGTTTAGAAAGTCATGCAGAGCACAGCATGGACGGCTGCAGACTGTCATCAGTCAAAACAGCCTGTCCTCGTCCTCTCTCTCTGGAACTAAATGAGAAAGGTTGCAGATAAGGCTTGCACAAACAGCCCCTTACAAAACGTGTTCAGGCGAGTAAGAGAGACCCCGTTCCAATCATGTAAGAAGGTATTCTGCAAAACATTTCACGTGCACCATGTACAAGTGCTAATATGGAAATGTTCGATCATAAAACTCCTTCTCGGTATTGCTGTCCAGATTACAGAAATGACAAAGGTCTGGTGTAGGATTTAACCAGGGGTGAGAGGGAGGTCTTGAAAACTGAAGAAAGAAACAGACTTGGGTGTTTAATTGCCAGCCCTGCTGCAGTGATGATGGAAATGGTTCTTCTCCGGTGAGCAGCAGTGGGTACAAACTCAGGCTGTACACAGGTAGCTGCAGCAGGAGTTTATATTTTTTAGTTATGGGTATTGGCAGATGCTGAGCAGTGATTTGTGTTTGCAGGTGGTGACTCTGATACGATGTGTTATGGTAGGTGCAATGAGTGCAGGAGCTTTCTAGGATGCAGCCAGGCTGCCATTGTGATTTGTGGCGTGCTGGCAGACACAGAGAGGCAATAGGCAGCGTTTCTTTGTCCTGCCTCATCCAGGCCTTCGTCCCCATCTCACCTTCAGTATGATTGGGCTTCCCGGCTTCAGCTCCAGGATCCCTGAGGGATTGAAAACTTCAAAGATTGGGTTTGGATAGTAGGTGAAGTTGGTTTTGTTGAGGATGAGCAGGGACTGCACGTTGTCAAGAATGAAGCCAAACTCCTCTGGACGCTCGGCAAGCTCAGACTGGTGACCGGGGTCAACAGCCAGTGCTGGAGCCTGGCAGGTCATCTCCGTGCTGTTCTGCACCTCACAGTTCTGGAGAAAGAAACCCAACACAAGGAGAGTTTATGGAAAATGCCTCCAGCCCTCCTGGTGGGCAAATACCTCCCAGCAAACTGCTAGCCTACCTGCCACCGGAGGACAGGGAAAAGCAGACCTCCTTGGTTATCTGAGACAGGCTGGTGCTCCACTGCTTCAAAACATACCCCATACCCATCACACAATCAAGGCTGGGAAGGGATTAGGAAAGATTTACTGGGGCAGACGTGTGGAGTGGTTTGCACTGAAATTGGGCATCCTGTGCCTCTTACCTGAGGGAGTGCAGCCTCTGGGATTGCCAGTGTCAGCATCTTCCCCTAACCCATTTCCTTCTGGAAATAGAAATTTCTTCCCTTTTTTGTACAGCAGAGACTAGTCAAAGCCTCGCTACCACCTTGCAATTAGCTGTCACGCTCTGGAGATCACTCCAAGGGTGTATGTATGGGCAGTGCATGCTCAGCGGTGCTCAAGGTTCCTATCTGAATATCGATTTAGCTGAAATGAAGCTGAGGAAGCTGGAGTGGTGAAGACAATGGACTAGGTCTCAGGAGACCCTGAAGATTACCAAAGACCTGCTTTTCTGTATATTTGAGAAATGACTAATAGATTGTGAAAGGTGTTTTACCCTGACTCCTATTTTAAATGACATTTTGAATGACTAGGAATTAGGTGTCTGATTGTCCTTCAGGACCTGAATCTTCGTCTTCCTATATCATGGTTGCTAGTACAATGCATCCTGGTCTCACCAAGAACCAATAGGCTTTGTGGGGAAACAGCACCAGCTTGTGGGATCCCAGTGGTGCTTGATATGAGAATCTTCTCCAAACTAGCCTGATACCTCCAACATTGAGAGCACACTCATTATCTCAGCTGGCATAGCTCAAGTGCTAATAAAGCTTTGGTTCAAATCAATAGAGAGATAAGTGACTTGCTCCAGCCAGTTTCATACTGTAAAGTCAGATGTTCTTTGCTATAACAGCTCTTAGAAGGAAAAAAGGCACCGGAGTACTTCCCAACATAAAACTGATGTGCAGTTCTACATAAGCATGTGTGAGATGATGAATAGGTTTCATCATCTGCACAATGGCGTGATTGTTTGAGACCACTGTGTCAGGCAAAAGCTGGAGTCTGCTGTAAGAATACGATGAAGTCATGAAGGCTTCTAATTCTGCTGGAAAGAGCACAAGTCTGATGAGGAGCGGCTGAGGGAACTGCGGTTGTTCAGTCTGGAGAAGAGGAGGCTGAGAGGAGACCTTATCGCTCTCTACAACTACCTGAAAGGGGGTTGTGGCGACGAGGGTGTTGGCCTCTTCTCCCAAGTAACTAGCGATAGGACAAGAGGAAATGGCTTCAAGTTGCGCCAGGGGAGGTTTAGATTGGATATTAGGAAAAATTTCTTCACTGAGAGGGTGGTCAGGCATTGGCACAGGCTGCCCAGGGAGGTGGTGGAGTCGCCATCTCTGGAAGTGTTCAAGAAACGTGTGGATGTGGCGCTTCAGGACATGGTCTAGGGGACACGGTGGCGCTGGATTAATGGTTGGACTTGATGATCTTGAAGGTCCTTTCCAACCTAGTGTTTCTGTGATAGAATTTTGATCTACAACTACCTGAAAGGGGGTTGTGGCGACAAGGGTGTTGGCCTCTTCTCCCAAGTAACTAGCGATAGGACAAGAGGAAATGGCCTCAAGTTGCACCAGGGGAGGTTTAGATTGGATATTAGGAAAAATTTCTTCACCGAGAGAGTGGTCAGGCATTGGAACAGGCTGCCCAGGGAGGTGGTGGAGTCGCCATCCCTGGAAGTGTTCAAAAAATGTGTGGATGTGGCGCTTCAGGACATGGTTTAGGGGACGTGGTGGTGCTGGATTAATGGTTGGACTTGATGATCTTGAAGGTCCTTTCCAACCTCAGTGATTCTGTGATTCTGTGATAAATGTTTGGCTGTGTCGTACCAGGAAATACAACACATTACCAAAACATACCTATGAATATGCATAATCAGTTGGACCAGGGTTTTCCCAGAGTTCATGAGGGAGTGGGAGATTGTCAGTCTCACATCAGACCCAGGAACCAATCTCAACAGATATTTCCTGAATCTGATGATTTTGTCACCTTTCACAAAAGTGACAAAATTGCTTTGGATTTGGCTTTATGGAGGGAGATATTAGTCAGAATCACAGAATCATAGAATAGTTTGGATTGGAAGGGACCTTTAAAGATCATCTAGGCCAACCCCCTGCAATAAGCAAGGACATCTTCAATCAGATGAGGATGCTCAGAGCCCCGTCCAACCTGACCTGGAATGTTTCCAGGGATGTGGCATCTACCACCTCTCTGGGCAACCTGCGCCAGGGTTTCACCACCCTCATTGTGAAAAATTTCTTCCTTAGATCTAGACAGGAATATCATCTTGTTCATGGCAGAGCCGGGATAAGGCCAAAATTTATGTGTCTCAATCAGCAAACTGCAGATGCAAATGAACCTACCACATATATTCCTGCATTTTCTTTTTGGATGTACCACAGTTTCACCATTATCCATGTGGCAGTAGAAGATGTTAATGTCCATTACGTGCTTTGAGAACCTTGGGTGGAAAGCCCATGGATTAATCTTAAAACCTGAGAAATGCAGAGGATCTGAACTTTCTGCCCTCACCTCTGTGATTAGTCCCTCTGTATTTTTTACTTTTGGAGCTTCTTCTTCTGGGGTGCTCCCAGGAGGTGCCCATACACAGCCAACACCTTTGCAGATGCTATTGCATGGCCCCATCCTCCAACACACTCTAGGTACCAGCAGGTGCTTCCTGCTCCTGAGTCCCCTGATTGGATGTGCTAAACTCACAGGTTTTACAGCTCTGTTTGGAGCTCCTCAGCAGCTACTGGTAATTGGTTCTTTCTGAGTGAATTGTCCTCCCAGGCCTTGGTAAAGTCTTGCTGGCCTCCACAGAGCTGCTTCTGATTCCTCAGTGGTCACTGAGAGTTTAATTACACTTTAAATCTAACTGGTTAAACCTGGATACACTCTTGCAGGAACCCAAACAGTCTGGGGTGTGGACATAGTAGTACCAAAGAGTATTAATCACAGTCCCTTCTGATTCCAGCACGCTCAGTTAATAACCTGCATTTGGGTCTACTTATGCATCAGCATGGCTGATAAATAACATAGGTTGTACATGGCCCAAGAGCGAGGACAAGTATCCTTGAGCCAACAGAAGAAACAGGCTCAGGAGCTGAACGATCCTTTATGATGCCTCTTTCTGCTTCCTCTTTGGTCCAGTGCTCCTTCATGGAGAGAAGTTGGGGTAATCTTTCTGAAAGGAAGTTGTACCCTCTTTTCTGGATGCAATAGGAGATTTCAACCTCCAGAGCTGTTAGCCAGTCTCTATCACCACCTTGGACATGTCCCCTCCTGTGATTGATCCCAGCTCAGCAGCCATACTCACATTAACGTGCTCCTTTCCACCGTGTTTTGCCCGGATCTGAGGGTTTTGGATCAGGTCTAGGTGAGTTCCCCACACTGCAATGGGTGTGTTGCCACTAGAGAAGAAGAAATTAAAGAAACACGTGAACCCAGATAATATATATCAGGACTGATTGCACCAGCAATGGGTGATCTGTATTCCTAAACGTTGATTGCAAAGTGTCTGACCACATCTCACAGTCCCATAGGAAGGGAAGGAAAAACAAAACAAAGCAAATAATAACTTTTCATTTAATCATAAGGGGAGAAAGAAGTAAATCCATGCTCTTGCTAAAGCAACTGGGTGTTTTTCATTGTTAGGACTCAGGAATCACAAGCTTTGGTAATGTGAAAAGTGAGAAATCTAACAGGAGCTCTTCAGAGCGGTCCATAGACTGTATCTCCTCTGTCACTGAAGGAAGGGAGTCTAAAAAACCCTCATAGATACTATCTTGTGCAAGCAGCTCTGTTTCTTCTAAATGCTGCAGGACCTAGTTTGCTGGCAGCACTTGAAGTGGGTTCACTGGGTTGACATTTTCTTATTTAGGGGAATGATTTTATAGCAGGTTTCATATGCAAGATGGGACTACAGCCACCAACCAAGGCAGCACTGAATCCAGTGCTAGGCAAACTAGGTCCTTCAGCATCTAGAAGAAACAGAGCCGAAGTCTTCAGGCATGGAGTGCATAAGGCATTTGCTCAGTTTCTAGTTGGTGACCCAGGCAGGTAAGCTCTGCCATGTGTGTTAGATCCAACATTTGACAGAGATTTCCAGTCACTGTGTCCCTTTGCTCAGGCAAGGACTGATTTCCTGAGAAAGCTGATTCATAAGAGCCACAACTCTGCACCTGGTAGATTTTCTCACTTTTATAACGTCTTTTAACCCAGCTTAAGATGGGGACATGTAGACAGAACGCTTCTCATTCCCTGCAATCACTGTCACGAGAAGGAAACAGCTTTCAGAAACACCCGCCTTTCCTTTCCCTTGCCTCTTCCAGCAGCAGCCATCAGTGCTCTTTGTGGGACTCCAGGGAGCAGAGGTGAAGGAGGACGGAAACTGCAAAGGAGCATTCCCAGGCTTCAGTAGGAGCTGATGCGTGTGTTGGCTTTGAACGCCGCATTCAGGGCGAGGGTTCACCACAGGCAGCTTTGGCTACCCCAAATCATAACAACATTGCTCTCCCAGGGTGCGTGCTCCCTTTGCAGCACTGTGGCAGAGGCAACATGATGCAAGGGCTCAAGGAGGAAGAAGTTATCCAAGAAAGCAAAACTTTCCACTGTCAAGGGCTCAGACACCCAGGGTAGGATGAGGAAATGTCATCAACGGACAGCCCCATCTCTGAGGGTTTCCCAGGGTGAGGAGTACTCTCATTGATTTTGGCACCTGCCTCCATAATTCCCCTTGGAAACTGTCCAGGATGCAATTTATTTCCTGGAGTACTCTGCTGAGAATGGGAGGTCATGTGGAAACTGGTTGGATTGGGAAAAGAAAGCTCAGAATCCATTTCCTGCCTCCTGGTAAACCTACACACACATGAAAGGTGAAACAAGTGCATTATAAATGAGAAAACACCAGAGAATAAACACACTGTAAGGAAAAAACCTGTATTGGTCAACAGATCTCTCCCAGTTCTGACCTTTGTTTTCCATGTTCCTCATTAATATTCCATTATAAATCACATGGGGCATGTAGGAATGAATGCAAATATACATCTCTGCTCAGCAGTATAACTGTCAGGTTTCAGTGAGCTGCCCACAGCTAGCTGGGACTGTGCTTCAGCCCCTCTCGTTACACCCAAACTGATAAACCAAAGGGCCAGGACACCAGCTCAAACACTGGCTGGTGGCCCTAGATGCGGCCATAGATGCTGACAAGCCGCTAGCACTACCCCAGGCAATGCCTGGTCATGGTTCAGGGGATAGCAAGGTCCAGGGTGCACTCCCACAAGTAGGATAGATGCAGCTAAACTGCCTTTGAAGGAGGAAAGGTCATTGGTGGTATAGATGAGGGCTACACATGCTCTCTGGCTTCAGGACTGAAGACTAGACCTGAATTAAGAACCTAGTGTTTTAAACATGGACTATGTGACCAAGAAGCCTGTAAAATGAGCTCAGCCAAAGAGTATTGTCACAAATATGTATTTTGGCAGATGCTTCCATGACACTTCTGTGAGAGTTTCCTCATGGTCTTTCATTCAAGCCGTGCCTGTATGGACTGAACCATGATTAGGACAACATTTGACCTTGAGTTTTGTAGAGTACCTCAGATTCTTGCTCTCTGAAACCATCAGCTGTGATGGGAAATTTCTAATGGGAAATTTTGTGGAGCAAAAACATATTTTGCCATCTCCATAAAACCCACTTTGATGGTTGAGCTCTCCTGAATGCACAGAGAATCTCTTCTGAAGTCTCACACCCATGTACAAGAGAGTTCCTCCTCCCTGCCTTACAGAAAAAATACCCTCTCTCCAAAATTCAGCTTCACATTGAGGATTCCTGACATCACCTAGGGAAAGCTCACTCACCAGAAACCAAAAGAGAAATCTATAAACCAAGCTGTTCTTTCTCCACTGTCCTGGTTCGTCTGGATTTTTGGTCGTGGGCCTTTATAATTTTTATTATTATTTATTATTATTATGAATCTCTGCTGATTCAAACTAGAAGGGATTTTGAATCTTTATCAACTGACAGTTTTACATGTTGCAGGTGTATCAAATGTCTGTGCATATGTATAGATATATGAGTGTGTGTATATATACAAAAATCCTTTTATTTAACCAACCAAATCTGTGTATACAGTTTTAAACCCACATGTTAAAAATTCTGTATTTGGTTTGGAAGCCGAGCTTACAGGCTCAGACCATAGTTACCAACCACAGCCGCAGCACTGAATCAGAGAGGGGCTTTCTCTCTGCAAAAAAAGCTAAAACAGTTGTGTTTGCTGAAGACACAAAATCACCCCAAAACCCCTCTCTGGCTTGCAAATCCAGCAAATACAACTGTTGCTTGCCTTTGCATGAAAACCATTAGCCATTGTCTTCTGTGTCCGCAGGTGAATGTCCACTCATGGCTGCTCCTCCCCCAGGCCAGGAGAGATCAGAGCTCAGAGAGATGTTGCTGCCCAGCAAAATAACAGAGGTGCCAAGAATATGAGCTTTCTTAATTTAACTCCTTATTGTCCCAAATTTTCTGTCTGCAGACTCACATAATTGCTGGACATAAATCAGACCCAGATCAAACATATTAATGTAACCTCATAAAATTCTAGTTACCTGCCAGACTCTTTTATTTTTGGCTATGGGAGTAAATTAGCAGTAATCTTTTCTTTATTATCTTGGAAAATGGCACTTGAGAAGGTTTTGAGCCAGGCTTGGTACATTCATTCACTCAGTTTGCAAAGCTGGTTTATTAGCAATCATCTATCCCTCAAAACAGCTTAGCCCCACAGCCAGGAGCGATGAATCAGAGCAGCACAGTGGATTTGCTCTAATGAATCATACTGCGTAATGAATACACTGAGGAGCAGCCTCCTCAGTCTATCTCCACATCCACGTGTCTTGACTAACTTATTTCTTGCTTGATTCTTGGAGTGGACTTGGCTGCGCTTTCATCCGGCTCCATGTGGAAGCCTTACTCCAGTGTTTGTCTCCACTGCGACCGGCTGGATGGAGCTCCACAGCGGAACAGTTATAGCGTTTAAAACTGTCCCCGACAGCCTGAACCACAGTGATAATCCCGGATATCGCATCTTTTCTCTTTGCACCCTCCTCCAAGGTTACGCCCCTTTGGAGTGATTCAAAAGCGCACAAGAAAGAGGATGAAGGTGGAGGTGGCTAGGTCTGGCTAAAATTAGGCATCTGCTGCTGCTTAGGTGGATGCTTTCTGATTTCAGAGACACCGACGAGAGCAAAGGATAGAGCTTGTATCTGAATGATGAGACAGGTAGAATCCCAGTCATCCATCCCCACAGCTACATGCCCTGCAAGTAAGCTGGCACCCACTAAATGAGCACTCTTCTTAATTTCTCTTATGCTGGGAGGTGGGCAGGGAGACCCACGGCAGCAAGCAATGGGACGCAGAGTCTCTGTACCCCCAGCCGGGCAAAGCTTTGCCGATACACCTAAGGCATCTGCTTGGCTGCTGCTTCGTCTCCTGCTGGCAGTTTCAGCAGAAAAAACAAGGAGCAAATGGGCTCTGGAGAACATCTCCTCTCACCTCCCAGCCAGACCTGAGGCCAGCCAGAGGAAGGTCCCTGTGCTGTAACTTTCCTGGAGGTAACAGGGGAATTCACTCTCCTGGGCTGCCAATCTTGCACCTTTTAGCTGGCACTGAACTCACTTTAATCAGGAAGGGAGTAAAGCGATTTCTCATTTCACTCATAACCTGAACTCTGAAAATAAAAACCCTAAATGGAAAATCCAGACACTAAAGCTTCAAGCCCAATGTGGAAAGATTCAATCCGGCTAAATCGGTAAATTCCCTCATGGTAATTGAAGGCACTAATTGATTTGTGAAAACATCTCCTGGATGGGAGCTGAACTGGCGAGATTTGCAAGCCCTGCTCCTAATCCCCAGATACTCCCATCAGTCCGGTTTGACAGGGGAGCGGGGAGCTGCTGGGGATGAATAGGGGCCGACTAAGATTTCTTATTTTGCATCTTTTCAAGGAAATACAGTGCATTTAATGACCCATTTCTCTCTTCCCACGGCCATTTCTGCAGGCTTCTGGGAGCATTTGGGTATTGCTTTGATGCTTTCCACAACCAGGGCAAATGCTCCTCTCAGACACCTTCACGTGAACCCTCTGAATTCACCAAAGCAGCATCAATGGGGTGAAGAGAAAAAAGGATCCCTAACAAGGAGGAAGGCCCTTTGACAGGGCAGGGACCAGAGCTCCCTTTGTGTTTTGTCTCAGAAGACAGCCCTGGGGCTCTCAGGCACGACAGCCAAACAAGCAATGCTTGGTCTTAAGCCAGCAAGTACATGAAGGCTGTGGGAAAGGTGGGAATTGTTGCTTTCAAACCCAAGGGATATTCACTGTTCTAAGCACAGTTAGGACATTTATGCCTGGGTTTAAGAGATCGTTGACTGGTCCTGTGGCCATGCAAAGCTGTGGACCCAGTCCAATGTGGCCTAAAACACAGTTATGACCAGAAAGAGTAGGAATTGCAGCTTTTAGGAATGTAATTGCATAGTTTAACCAGCCCCGGTGGTCTGTAATATTACTCAGGCAGGGAGTATCCTGGTGCTGGAGATAAACCCCAGGCTGCAGTAAAGAAGAAGAAAGCTTTGACACTAGGTTGGAGACCTGTTGAACCTGCCTTTGTAAGTAAAGCATGAAATCTCCAAGGCAAGCTTCTAGTGGGCATTGGCAGCTCGATTCTGCTGCGTTAAGACTGGAAGCTTTGCTCTGCTAGTGAAGGCAGGGTGCAGGGTCATTCAGGTTTGCACTACACGGAGTTTCTTTGGAGCAAGGACCCTGCTCCTGCCCATCCCTCACTAGACTCTCTGGGAATTTTGTCTCGGGGTACACATGAACACAGACACATATTGGGCATCCAAGGTGTTACGATGAATGCACAATGCACCACTGGCCTTTTAGTCTTCCCAGGAGGTGAGTACACCAAACCTCATGGTCTCAGACTCTGGGAAGTAGCTCCGCACAGATCTATTTCTTAGTGAACACAGTGCTTGGAAAGCACTTCTTTGTATGAAGGGTCAACATGAACACACCAGTGCTGCATTGGAAAACCATGGGAGGTGGTAGGAGGTGTCCATGGGATGCTTACCTGAAGATGCTCCACTCAGGCTCAATCCTCAGGATGGTTGGATCCTCCACATATTCGTACTGCAGCTCCTGATGTATCTTGGCCTTGTCCACCCTCACGGACACCTTCACCTTCTCAAAGCCGTCATCTGAGGCAGTGGTGTTACAGACAATGTGCTTGGTGGATCTCCTGTGAGCAGAAGCAAGTGAATATAAACCAGGTGCTACCAGCAGCAAACCAAATGGTGCCAAAAAGAGCACAGCTACTTACTCTTATGTCCTGTGACCTTAACCTATGCACTGTGAAGTGACGAAACTCACTGCTACAGGAATATGCTGTGAATATTGTGACACGTTTATCTGAGGAAGTGACATTGCCTTTTCACTAGTTTAAATAAAACCACAAGAACCATCATTTCTCAGGTCTCAGAGTGAAAGCTGAACCCCAAGGGAAATCCAAAACAGACCTTTCTCCAGAAGTATTTCTGTGTGATTAAATACTTGATGGATGTTTCCTTCCTGCCTGCAGACATATGCAGCAGCAGCTCATAAAAAGGAGTTTTTGCACCTCAGCTTTCCAGTCTGGGATAATAAAGTTTACTTTGCATTAGGACTGTAAGCCTTGTTTAAGTGCAGTTTGCAGCGTGCCTGGGACCTCTGCACGGGAGGTGCTAATGTAGTGGGAAGAATTTTATGATTATACTCAAAGAATATTCTGCATTAACCTTTCCTTCAGGGCAGGGCTCAAAACCAGCTCCAGGTCTGAATTTTGCAGTGGCCCTTACTTTCCATAAAGAGCCTAAAAGCTAAGCTCCAAACACCCTCAGCCTCATCTTATACCCCTAGAAAGAATAAAGCAAGGTGCATCCTTCCCTTGCAGCGTGGCACTCACCTTCATTGACTGCAACACCCTGAAAGACCACACTCAGTCCCTCCTAAAACCCCCCAGGCTCTTCAGTAAAGCAACTCCAAGCAGCTGTGGTTCCCACTTGGCCTTTTAAATCACAAGCTGTGACTTCACTCTCCTGAATTATAGATGCTGAATCACACCACAGTCATGACAGGCAGCTAAACAGGATCCCCGCAGCCAGGAGAGGGAAGGGCATTGCCCCAAGACAGTGGTCCCAGGTCCCTGTGAATGGGCCCTTCTCCTGCCAAGGACAGGCTGGGAGCAATGTGCCAACTTCATCTTCAGCCTCCACCGATACTGGCAGCAAAATGTGTTGCACTGGGTAGTTTTGAGCTGCGGGAGCCCCTGGGAACGGGATTCAGGCTCGTTCTCACAGGGATCAGGGAACATTCAGCAGGTAACACTGACATTAAGCCTCTCAGAACTGCAATTGAACAGGAGCCAACCCAGAGCTGAAATGTTGCAAATCATCCATTTCTTAGCACTACAGGACTACTCTGGGATAAAAAGGAGGTGTTTTAATATCTAGAACTGATGTTGTCAGATTGTCACCTCCGCTAAAGCAGGGATATGAAAATGAATCTTTTAAACGACGTACTCCCAGAGCAAGTAGCAAAGCATGGGACCGTGGAGAATTGTAGCGAAATTTGACAAGGGGCCATGGAAAAAAGCACATCAAATACAAATCAAAACAATGAAATAAATCCGATTCTCCCGCCCCAAAACATGCACAGTAAGGTTCCACACAGTGCAGAATGCAAAAGTCCAGTTGCTGAATAGATGTGGCCTCAGGCAAAAGAGGCCGTGAGGGACAGAGTGTCTGGGCTGTAGAAGTCGCCTGGTTATAATTGCTCACATCTTTCAGACTCAAGCATGTACAGTAGGAAGGACTCATCTGTACCTGTAGAAGAGACAGGGTTGTCGCCCAAAGGTCACAATGACGTTGCTACCTGCATTAAGGTTGTTGCCCGTAATTGTCACCTGGGTGCCACCCGACACTGGTCCCCGCTTCGGCTTGAGATCAGAGAGTGTCAGAGTCTGTGAAGACAAGGGGTCATGTTGAAAACACAGCAGAGGAGGATAGGTACCTTCCCTCTCTCGTTTTAGTGATGGAGAGAGGTAGGTACCCCCATGGGTTAATCACATGTTAGCTGACTTCAGAAGATGACCATATCTCTGGCCAATAGAGGAGCCTAGAGTGACTCTAGTCCTATCATAGACACTCTGCCTGAATGTCAAGTTTGGTGGGATGACTTCAGACCTACCCCCCCTCTTCTCCTCACCTCTGCAAAATTAGGCCTGCCCTTATACCCACTCAGAAATACTCTGTGCTTGCAAAGTCAATTCCACATCTGGAGCAGCTGGAGCCACAATCTTCCACCTACATTTCTTGTTTGACACAGCTCAGGTGTCTTTTTTGCCATCATGCAACACCACCTCTGCAAGATAAACCAGGTCTTGAACTGGCTGTTTGGATCTTGATGAGGACTCTCCACCTCCAAACTCTGGAGCTCACAAGTGATGAAAATGATAGAGTCCTGAAAAGATTACTCTAAACCCTATTGACCTGACAAGGGAACAGAACCTGTTGTATAGCTCCAGAGAGATGCCAAAAAACTCCCCCTGCGCTCACGGGCTTTTTCCCTGTGAAGGAAGCAAGCTGTTCAGCAGAGCATCTGAGCTCGTGTCTTACCTATCCCACACACCCACCACTGAACCCAAATCTTCTCAGACTTGGATGCTGAGACCATCTAGTACTGCACCAATACAGCCCAGCGGTGTTCCTGTGAAGAGGTACTCTAAATACTACAGCCACCACCAAAAGAGCACTGTCCAGACGAACCCTTTCTTCCTCTTTGTGCTGATTTTCTGAGCCTCTTTTCCAAACGTAACATGGTGTTGTGTTAATGAACCAAAAAGGGGCACAATTCCTTTAGGGGCCCCAAATCTCAAACCTCTTTTTCTTACCCTCCTGCTCTCCTTTATTCCCCAAATCAAGATAAAATACTTGCTCTCTGAAGGCACAGATCACCCTGTTACCACAATGCAGAGAGGAGACATCCATTTTCAGGGAGAAATTTGGAGTTACAGTTTATTCTTTCATTTGCATTTTAATAGAAAAACTTTCCACTCAGTCCCAAGTGAAAAGCTACTATATGCATTTAAATGAAGATTATTTTTTTCCCCTCTCTTTAAGAATGATGACACAAACGCTTGAAGCTCTCCTCAGTTCCTCTGGACGAGCAGGTACATCACACAGTCACCTTATTGAGCTTTGGAGACCATTAATCCATGTTTATAAAACCACCTGACACACACCACAGCTCCCACTTTCACATCCCCTCTGGCTAATCATTTTGAAAAACAGCGGCAAGGTTTCCACTTTGCTTTTGTTCAAAATGAAGCTACAGCTTGAAGAAAAAGCTGAACAT